AACGCAAACAGGCAGCTAGGTGATGGAGAAAAGAAAAACACTTTGTGGGAATACAAGTGGAGAACGTTATCCCAGCTTGTGCATGCGCTAATATGTGCTACTCCAATGCAATCTACGGATTCACAGATTTGTATCTGCATCTACTGCGCCTGTGTTAGGTTGAGTCAACTATTGTGTCTGCGACATGTGTATTGTGTATTCTGACTTGTCCAGAAATCTTGAGACTAATATATTCTTAACTGCCCGTTCAAGCCGAATAGGATTCAGCGATATTACAAACGTAAGAACACTACATATATTTATATTACATTATTTCTAAATAATTAAATTGATTATAGTGAACCCCACTATGTCAAAAAAACAACAATGGAACGATAAGTATGCCGGTTATGGATTTACATGCACAACCGAAAAAGATGGCACGCAACGACCACAATGCATCTTGTGTTCCAAGATATTTTCAAACAGCAATCTCAAACCATCAAAGTTATTAGAGCATTTCAGCAATCTGCATGGGGGCGAAAAAGCGCATAGCATGAACAGCTTGAAGTCAAAGAAGGCTCGGTTTGATACCAGTGGAAATATCCTAAAATTGTGCAGGACCAGCAATTCAAGTGGCAAACCTTTATTAGAAGCGTCATATCCTTTATTTGAAGCGTCATATCAAGTGGCATATTTATGTGGAAAAAAAAGAAACCTCACACGATCGCTGAAGAGTTGATTAAACCTTCTGCTTTAATTATTGCTAAAACAGTTTTAGATTCAGAAGCACATTAAAAAAATCCAACAAATTCCATTATCGAATGACACATCGCGAATACAAGATCTCAGTGAAGATATTTTAATGCAAGTAATTGAAGACATAAAAATCAGTGCACTAAAAATAAGTATGCAACTGGATAAGTCAACTGATGTTGATAATTGTAGCCAACTTTTGGTATTTGTCACATATGTGAAGAAAAAAGAGGTGATAGAAGAATTTCTATTTTGTGAGCCACTGGAGGTGAGTACGAGAGGAATTGATGTTTTCAATCGCAATCCCATCAAAGATTTTTTTACTAAATATCAATTACCAATGAATGTGATTGGCTCAATACGCACTGATGGAGCTCCAGCAATGTTACGCAAAAATTCAGGTTTTTTTCACACATGAAAAGAGAATTACCGGAAGTTATAATAACGCATTGCATGTTGCATTGTCATGCACTTGCGTCGAAAGCATTGCCAGAAAGTTTAAAACAACATCTAACTACAGCAGTAAATGTAGTAAATACATCCGAGGGCGAGCGCTTAATCATTGCATTTTTCATGCATTTTGCGAAGAAATCGGTGCTGATCATACCGTGCTCCTATATCACACCGAAATACGATGGTTATCTAAGGGTCGCATGCTTAAGAGAGTTTTTGAATTGCGTTAGGAAATTATTCAATTACTGACTAGTCAAAACTGTTACTTAGTAAAAGATTTTGAGAGTAATGATGCAATGCTGATGCTGGCCTACTTGTAAAGTCATTAGGATTTTTTGGAAGGCAGAGAGATGAAAAATTAGCAACCACCTTCGCCGGAAATCGAACCACGGACCTCTGGAATACCAGCCTAGTGTGCAGAACCACTACACCCACGAAGGACGCTTGAAAAGTGGGAGAAATACCTTATATACTTAGCAGACATATTTAGCCATTCAAATAAATTGAATCTATCAATGCAAGGATTTGGTATAAATATAATAATATCTAGTAAAAAATTATCTTCATTTATCGCAAAATTAGAAATTTGGATACGTCGAGTAGAAAAGGGGAATTTTTCAAACTTTCCCTTGCTTGATTCTGTTATTGCGAAAAATGAAAAGAATGCAATTATACCCGACATTGTAATACATTTGAGACGATTGAGCGAATCATTCAATGGATATTTTTCTACCGGAAATATTACCAAAACTCAGAGATGGATACTGAATCCACTTCTATTTAACTTATATTTGATGAATGATAGTGATCTGAAAAAAGATCAACTTACTGAAATGGTTACTCCTCCCCATTGCTACCACCTACTTGTGCAAAATGGGATTTTCATTGCTTTTGCATATAAAAACTAAAGGGAGAAATCACTTAAATGCAAGTGATGACTTACGCGTATGTCTTTCAAAAAAGGAACCTCGCTTCGCCAGTATAAATAATGAACAAACAACAACAGACTAGTCATTAATAAAAATAATATTGTTTTGTATTTGTGTAAAATGTACAATGTTTTTCAATAAACAATAAGTTTCGCAAAAAATGTATTTTTCTAGACTAAAAAAATTAAAACACATTTTTCAATGGGATGCGGAGATATATTTTCAGATTTAATGGGGTGCGACTCGCTAGAAAGGTTAAGAAACACTGATCTAAAGAGTAACAAAATTTACAAAAAAAAAAAAAAAAGCTTCATATTTATTTGTTTACTTTATTAAAAATTTCTTTCAACGCGCGCTTGCGTAAAACATACATTACGCATAGTTGAAATTCGAAAATTGCAACCAGAAAACTATTTGATGTGTATTCGTGATATTTATAATGATGAAGAATTCGATTTAAATCTTATCAAAGACGGAGTACATCAAGATGAAATACTACATTTAATAAGGAATTATAAGACGAATAAAATAAAAACATCTGCCCTGAAGATAAGGATAGTGCTGACAGATAAACTTCCAGTTCATTACGCGCCGTAAAGATGTTTTATTAAGTTATTTATTTTACCTGGTACCTTGCTGTGTATGATTTTAAAGATCCTGAAACAGGCGCACATACGCTTGCTTTTTATTTAGTGGAGGAAATAAGAAAAGTTTATCGGCCACGTAATCAAGATTCTGAAGAAGATTAGGAAAGTTAGTATTTTTAATTATTTGAGGATATTATTTTTATGCATTGTTCTAAATGTAAGGAGTAAATAAAATAATATGGTATTATTGGAAAATTGTTATTAGCAATGATTTTTATATTTTAAGTAGTGTTTTGAATTTAATTATATTTTAATTAAATGATAGTTATTTTGTGAATTATATGTTTGTAGGAATTTGGTATACGTTTCAGTGGAAGTAAACATGCATGGAAATAATTTAAATATTTGACACTAAGTATTTGTAACCATTTGTAATGTTTGAGGTATGAATTCGTTGGTGACGTTTATAATATAATAGATGATTTAGAGGTAAAAGTTTTTGGATATTTTATTTATTTTATATGTGGAAATGTTCATATTTGGAAAGGGTAAATACTTTTTCGCGATCAGGTAATTTCATATATGTTCTTTTTACCGGGTTTAAAGACTGAGAAAATTGTCATGTATTTTCGTGAAATTTTTCTAATTTATGAGAAAAAGCAGTATACATGGATATAGTGAAGAGTGTGCGCAATGCCATTTTTGTGCAATTCTGGGATATTTTTTTTAAGTAAAAATAAGTCGACGTGTACATGGTTTAATGATATTTTAATTAAATGATAGTTATTTTGTGAATTTTATATTTGTATGAATTTGGTATACGTTTCAGTTGAAGTAAACGTGCATGGAAATAATTTAAATATTTGACACTAAGTATTTGTAACCATTTGTAATGTTTGCGGTATGAATTCGTTGGTGATGTTTATAATATAATAGATAATTTAGAGGTGAAAGTTTTTGGATATTTTATTTATTTTATACGTGGAAATGTTCATCTTTGGAAAGGGTATGTGCTTTTCCGCAATCAGGTAATTTCATATATGTTCTTTTTACCAGATTTAAAGATTCACAAAATTTTTTTGCATTTTCGTGCAAATTTTCGTAATTTATGAGAAAATAGCAGTGTACATGGATAAAGTTAAGAGTGTGTGTAATGCCATTTTTGTGCAATTCTGGGAATTTTTTTTAAGTAAAAATAAGTCGACGTGTAACTGGTTTATGTGTATGTGCTATTCTGAAAAACGTGCAAGGAGTTTGCGATTGTGCACTTTTTCCCAATTTTGCAGTTAATATTTGTCATGATTAAGCAGTTTTGTTACATAAAATTTCTAGCATAAGTGTAATTCGGTTAGTAGATTGTTGGAAAAAGTGTTCAGTAAATAAAAAGAAAAGAAACGTCTTTACTTCGTGAAGACAAAATGGCGGCAAAAAAAACAATAGAGGGTTGCTGTAGCAGAGTTGGTCGCCTAATTTTCACCAAAAAATCGCCAAGTTACCATAATCCAAAGATCAACCGAAAATTATAATCATGATTCCCAAGAAAATATACAAATTCTGATTTCATCAATACACAGAATTTTAAGATAGTCTGGCTTTAAGAATTTACAAAGAAAAACATTTGCAGAGAAAGGTTTTTCATCTCGCATACAAAGACTTTATTACTGTTCCTTAAGATCCATGCTTTTGAACATTAACTTTTCATTTCTATTATTTACTAAAATTTATTAAAATTGAAAAGGTACACTGATATTAAATGAAATATAGTTTAACATAACATTGCTCCACTTGTAATACAATATAGAGCAAATTCCAGTCCTTTTTAAAGCATTCTTAGCTACTGGGTTTATAATCAGACAATTTCCGACCAATGACGTAATCATGGAATAAATTACATTCCACACTTATCTTGAATAGGAAAAATAATTGGAAGAACAATTCACTCCTTAGTGACATCATTAACCTATTGCAAAAAGTTGTTTTAAGGATAGTCTATCAAATACCACATTTATGATCCAATTAATTAGATTCAAAACAAACTGATACAAGCATACATAATTAGACTAACACAAATTCATACAAACTTAGTACAGAAATAAGCAAACAGAATTTTTTTAATATAAGATTAGTTCAGATATTTTCCAGTTTTAAAATAAAATTCCACAGAAAAACTAAGTGTAAACAACATGCAAGTATTTTTAACTTTATTACTGCATCTGAATGAAACAAAACCAAACACAAATTAAAAGATGAAATAGTTTTTTAACATGGAAATTAATATGAAAAATACAGTACATACTGTATAGTGTTTCCCGTGGTTCCCCTGAACCTGACGAAAACTTGGTATAAGAGCACTTATCATCACTGGTACTTGTTAAATGTCACATGCAGCATTATTTCACATTCTTCTGTGACATGTAATATACCTGAAATTTACAGTAGTTATTAAAAAAAAGTATTTAGTAAATATTATAGCAATTCTGTAAAATATTTAAAGAATTTTACACAGTTAAAACTCCTTTATAAGAAATATTCATTTATGCATAATCCTATTTAGGTATTTAATTTTTTGCGAAAGAATCAAATCTAAACAAAGAATGCAATTTTCATATCATCTTGCAAAAAGGCAACAGTTGGAAAACATACTAAGCTTTAATAAGATGAGGAAATTACAAAATACAATTGCAATTAGTTTCATTTACAATTGCAGTTACTTGCAATCTTTGTATATAGTTTTCCCAATAAAATTACAAAAGGAAATATTAATGGGGTGAATAATCATATGATAACGTAAATTTTACCAGTAAGCTTATTTAAAAGTAGAAAGCTTTTTCCCGAGTCCTAATAATTGTGTTTGTCTCATCACGAGGAGGCTCATCATGAGTTGACATCATCTAAACTTTTGTATAAAATTATGATTTTCTATTTCTAAAATAAAGCAAAAGTAGAAATTACCCACAATTAATTACTACTACAACATTCCATAATTTTTTAAGAATGTAAGTCCATTAACTGATATAATTATATAACGAAACAAACCACTTGCCTACAGTTGAAAAGATGGTTATGGAATAATGTACAAGTTTGAAAGGTTTAACTGATTATACCAACGTATAAGAGGGTTATTGATCTTAGAAAAAGTTCACACTAAGGCTATCTGCCTAAGGAAAGCGATGCCTTTGTAGTGGACTTTCTAATGGAAACTGGCTCATATAGATAGGTAAAACAACAAAAACACCCATGCAGCCAGTCTGTTTGCCTCAAATTGAGCCCAAGTAAGAACCACTAGAGTTCAGCAATTTTACAATTTTTCTTCCCCTTAAGAAAATTATTTGTATTCATGTTGCATATAAAAAAACCTTAAACAAAGTCCTACAACTAGCCCATTTGCCAGGAAGTGAACCTGGAACAAACAACTTCGGCTCAGCAATCTTATCAACTTGCTACTGATGGACTAAGTTTGATAAATTTACAATATTATTGATTGAATTAGATTGGACTGTTTAATTAAGCCAAAATGCACAAAGATTATTGACTAACAGTATGTTAGGCAATAAAATTAGAGAATTTTGTATTCTTAAACTCAGTGTCTGAGAGTTTTTAAATCAACAATTTTACATGCCTCTATTTTACAAAGACAGTACAGTCAGAAATGACAATGCCTTTTAGAGAATTCAAACACAAGCTCAATGGAATACAGTACAAAGTCTTTAATCCGGAATGATCTATAATACGGACCTCAAAGCTACAAACTTTCTGAGCATGTGTAGCGTTTAAGCATGCGCATAATACCTTTACGCACGCACATATATGTTTACATATGTGCATAATACGTTTACGCATGTGTGTTTAATGTATAACGGACGGTATAAGCTACGCTAAAATTATCTAATTATTTATTTATGTTGCAGATTGCGTTGTTCCTTAATCTTCTAATTGGATCCGGTTTATTATTTTTTGCAGACTGTTAAAGCAATTTTACAAAAAGTAAGCTTGAACTTTCGATTATGTCAAAAAAAATTTCCGATTCTGGAGCTGCCAAAGGATCTACAAAGTGAAAGCACGTTTCAATGTCCATCAAACAATGAGTGGAATTGCTGTAAAAAATGGATAAAGGCATGAAGAAGTGACAGAGAGGTTAGTGAAAACAAAAAAATTTCGATTGATAAGTTAATCGGTATTCTCGGCACAGCAATTACAGGACTTGAACAGCAGAACTTTGTAACTGAACAAGAAATTACGTCTGTTTATAGAATTAAAGAGAAGGTATTAAAACATAAAACGAAGCAACTTAAACAACATACATTGAAAGAAATGTTTAAAAAAGTAAACAAATAAATATTAAGCCTTTTTCTTTTTTTGTAAATTTTGATACCCTTTAGATCATAATTGCTCTTTATTTCATAAATTATGGTTTCATATTTTTAATTTTATAATTTCTGCATGCTATCTTACTAGATTTAAATTGCTGATCTATAATCCGGAAAAACCCCTAATCCGGAATCGCCGAAGTCCCTACGAGTCCGGATTAAAGCCTCTGTATTGTAATTATCTGACAGCCTCTACTAATTACTATACTGCCTAGGCAACTAAGGTTTTTCAGAAGTTTGAAAAGTTAGAAATACTACTCAAATACCAAATACTGAACACAGCTTATTTAATTATTTTACATCATTATTTTAACTATAAAAGTTTCATAAAATTTAACATAACTATTTTGAGACCTGAAAAGTAAACAAAGTACCCCCATACCAATTAGAATACTATTTCCCCTTCCCTTTGTTACAGTAGTATTACTTTTGCTTTTTTGAAATTAACCATTGTATAAGAATTCATAATTTATGAAAAATTTAATGCATTTTTTTAAATAGTTATACTTTCAAATGAAATATCATAGCTCTATATAATCACTTTGAAGCTTCTTATTTAAAATGGATTTAATACTTTAGCAAATTTATCTTTTTCACCCTCAAAATATGATATACTATTAATTTAGATATTATTAGATTATAATGATCATTATATCTTATCTCGTTATTTGCGCTTCTGCAAATGAGGATGATGGTTCGGTAAAATCATTGAAACTAGTCCTAATAAAATTTGAAAATAAAAACACTGATTTTTGTTGTTTAACTTTTTGTTCAGCGTGTTATTGTATCTTAATTATGACATACAGGTTAGAATTACACTTACATGGACATTAAAAAAAAATTCTGTATGAAATTGAACATCAAACGAAGCCCATAACAGTTCTTTGAAATTCAAAGATGCAAACTGAATGTCTCTTCTTTACGACAGAAAACTGAAATAAACTTATATTCAGTAATTTTAATAGCACATGCCTAAAGTTGCTCCCCTTTACATTAAACTGCAAACTCAATTTTAAAACCACTTTTGAGAAAGCGACCTTTTTAAAGGAATTCATTTTTTATCTTATTAGAAGTAAATTTCATTCAAATATACTTTATATTCCTTTGCCTATTTCATTTTTTGTTTCTTGAATCAATAACATTTCCCTCTTCCCACCTGAGACACATGACAATGCTAAAGTACAATCAAAGGGGTGAAAAAGGCTGTTTGTGTTCTCCAGCAAAAATATAACTACTTTTATTAATTCCTGCTCATCAGAGATAATCTGAAGTAATAAATGTCTGAAGAAATGCATTCATCTGAAAATTTTGAAAGCAAATTTACTTATATTTGGATTATATACAAGGTAAACAATGAAAATTACAAGCAGTTCTACCTCTGCGAATAGAATACAAAATGAAAAACTATAATCCCACAATAACTTATAAAAAACTATAATCTCACAATAACTTATGAAAAACTATAATCTCACAATAACTTATAATAAACTTGTTTTTACTATGCCAGCAGCAAAATAGAAGACAAATAATGAACTGTAAGAGTGAAGATGAAATTAATCCTTCGGTGGCTGCAAGATTAAGCAATTTTCGCTTCCCACATACGCACAATATTTGTCAGTTGTGAATTTGCAATGTGAGTTGAGCTTGTTGATGACCATCAAAAAGTTAAGCAAAGATGAAGACAGGAGAATAAAATATGTTTATAATTTCCTTGTCAGCTTAGTATAAAAATATAGTACGCTAATTGCATGTCATTACATTCAGCTTATTTTAAATTATTTGAATATGACAAGGATACCTGCTATTTGAATATACGGGAGCTACCTGCAAATGGGAAGGATGCCTTCGTGGCTGACTTTCTAAGGAAAAGCAATCTTGTATTTAGCTTACACGCCTGGAAGCCACGAAAAATCCCTGCGTAGACATGCGCTTCCGAACAAAATACAATAAATATAACTTCAGCAGAATCTGAGACAAAATTTCATGATAAACATAGCAACCGAAAATGAGTAAGTATCAACGAACTTTACAATAATCTGTCTTAACTTTTAAACTGTTTTGTGCGGTTTTTAACTCCGAAGATATTTCTGGAAACAATACAAAGTAGTTTGAGAGTCCACTAATTTATTCCAATGCACAGAAAAAAAAATTAAAAATATAATAAAAACTATTAATTTAAAGAAGTAACGCGTTTGCGAAATAATAAATATTGCACGTGGAAATATAACTCAAATCAAAGATCCTACGTTTAAATACTGCCTTGCAAAGAATTTGCAATCAATCTCAACTACGTTTAAAAAATGCCTGAGGGCGGAAATACATGTATACTGTAGCAACTATCTATATTAAAGCATTGTGAGAATGACACTGTGCCTCACGTACCCTAAGATGGATGATTGAAAGGCAGTTATACGTACCATAGATTAAACTGCATGAAAAAATAAGATTTAGCTGTTTTCAATGTATGTACACAGATTCCAAAACAAAAGCAGCCGAGATGGAAGTTTAAACCGAACGTTGTGTTGAGTTGTTATATAGAAGCTTCTGCGCGAAACATATTAATTTTTTGTGCCCATTTTACCGTACACTTAGTTTTTAAACAAATAAACATAAGCTAAACTAGAATTTATGTAATTTCGGTATATATGCAAATTCGATTCTAGAAAATAAGAAATAAATAATTTGCATATTTTTCATCTTAACTAATGGCTTTGTTGTGTGCTATTTGAATTTGTAATGTAAATTCAACGCAAAATTAGAAAGCACAGTCATATTTTCTCATTTCACAGTTATTTCAGCATCTATTTCAGACTATAAATCTATCTAAAATCTACAGTAGTTTTATCTACATTCATGCCTCGCTGAACGCACGTACCGAAAACGAACATTTTCCTTTTATCGCTAATGGACTAGCTAAAATCGATTGTTTCATATTTCAATTTTGATGAAGATGGTAAGTTGCTTCCATTGCCTCTGATATGTATTAAGTGAAAGGCAGTGATATGTATTTAAGTGAAACTTAGAGCCCATTGGTGAAAGGTGGCATATGCAGCGTTTATCTCGGAACTCATCACATTGGAACGACGCTGTAGTCACATAAATGCCTGTTAACACTAGCAAAACATTGAGCCCAAGAAACGCGCGCGAACCTGACGGTTCCACTAAAGGAAATAAAAAGTACTCTTTTTGAAATAAAACCGAATATTTATACATTTACTGCATAAAAATTAAACACCTAAGCAATAATGCCATCCAAAATTTTAAGATTGAAATATTTCTTCACATATGAAACTAATTCTGTTTAAACGCCGTCAAGCGGAGTTGTCAGATTCCTTTTAAAACCATTTTCATTTTATAATTTTTATCCTTACATGAAAGATGGCAGAAAAACTCATTTCTGTACCAATAATCATTAGTTAGCTTAACAATTTTTTGTGGTGCTCCCAAGTTATGTGATCGATCGAAATTATAACAGTTGACAGAGTTGGTGGTATAAATATAACCGAAACAATATTTCACTGACATGATACAATATTTCACTGACATGATATTTCTTCTATGAGACAGTGGAATGTTTTCAGACTTTTTTCTTCATTTCATTTGTGCTATAACGTATTTCCCTGCCCAGTCGGTATAGTGGTCAGGGAAGCTGACTGCGATGCAGAAGGCCCTGGGTTCGAATCCCGGAGAAGGCATGGTTATAACTGTCCGTGCCTTCATAGGAAAGGCGATGGTGGCCCACCTATTAGGTGCCTACATAATAAAGAAACCATCACATCGGGCCTTGTATAGATTAATGGACTGGGTTGCATTTGTAATTGTTCACAATCTGCCATTGGAGGGAAAAAAATTACCTTTTTCCCTACCATGTGCAGAAAAGGATTTGAGTTTCTTATATTATTACAAAGCACACTAAGAATAATGCAATAACACGGGAATTAAAAAAGTTTTAAAATTTCCAACTTCATCCACTTCACACAAAAAGAAGAAATTTACTTTCTATTAATTTCATCTGTATGTATTAACAATGTTGTATTTTAGATACCGAAGCGAACAATTTTTGAAAGCCTCAAATTTCTCTGAGGTATTAGTTTGCAGTAACTTATTTATAAAATAGTTCCACTAACTGGTAGGTAAAGTACATGTTCATAGCTGGTGATGCAGAGTCAAGACAGCAATGGAGCAAGTAACGAGTAGCGAGTGTGGCTTGCACGAAGTAATTAATGCGTAGTTCCTGTAGGTAAAGACATGTATTTTGTTGTAGGATCTTTGATGGTCTAATGTGTTCATCACTAACTACAATTTTTTTTTATTTATTTATTTTGCGACAAATAGACACTGTTACCAATATCGGTGATGCACAAAGGTTTTTTATTTACTTTCAATAATATAAAAAACTGATTGATAAATACAGCATAAATTAATCATACAAGTCATTTTATCCGGAATTTCTAACAATATTTTGCAATAAGTATACTTTTATAGTATCATTGTCATAAATAAAGTAGGTTTAGAACATCTCATTTTTGAGCGATTGGATGCAAAGTCTCTAACTTTGTTTTTTCTGCATATTCTACTGCTTGCATACGAAAAAAGTAATAATTGGGATGCAATTTCGTAATAACATTTTTGAGTCGAAAGCGCTTTTATTTTCCAGTTCAACACATTGTGGCTGAACAGTGGAAGCCAGAATGTTGAAAGCATGGCTGGGCTGCTATCCTGAGTTGCAAAGGAAATGATTAAGTACTATTTCGTATTGCTGTTTTAATGGACAGATAAATAGCACTTTTGCTTAAATGTGCAGTTTTTCTAGTTATTTGTTAGAAATTAAGCATCTGTTTGAAATAGATTTTACATGTAACATCAAAAACTTTTATAAAAATTGCTTTGAATAGCTTTTAATTTTGCTTGTGATGTTTTGCTTTTTGAGCTTTATAAAAATAGCTTTGAATTAACATGCATGAAAGCGAGGTTATCGGTGGACACTTTACTCAAGCATATGATTTCACTTTAATTCATCTCACTAATTGAATTAAAACAAGTTTGGCTTTAACTAAAATTGTCAGTTTGGCATAATAATTCTAACTTGAGTAAAAGACGAAACACCTTTACATTTATTAATTATTGTTAATTGAACGGGGGTTTGTTTGTAAACCTTGAAAAGTCAATTTCCGATCAATGACTAATTTCCGATCAATGACGATAATTACTTGGTTTATTAATTTTCATATTAAAAGTTTACATTTCTATTTTTCATGATTTAAATTCAAGTTCCTTTAAAAACATTATTTTCGGGTTTAAATTTCATACTTTTGGGTTACTTCACTCAGATACATTCTACTAACTTTATATTAGGAGATAATATAACCAATATTACTTTAGTAAATAAATTATAAACTTTTATATGTAAATAATTAGTGCTCTCGCTATGGAATTTCCCCAAATTTCACGATCACTAATGCAAAAAACTGAAATTTCGTAAACTTTGCTCACGTTGGGTACCAAAGATTCTTACTGAGCAACACAAAACAAAACGGATGCGTAGTGCACTTCAGTTTTTCACCCGTTATGCTGAAAGCGGCGAAGAATTTCTGACACAGATAGTCACAGGAGATGAAACATGGGTTTCTTACGACACCCCTGAAAGTAAGCGGCAATCAATGGAATGGAGGCACACTTCATCCCCAGCAAAGGTTAAGCCGAAGCAAATCTTGACACCTTGAAAAATGATGTGCACAGTGTTCTGGGACTTGTTTAACAAATCTGTAGTTTTGCCCAATTTAGAATTGTATTGAAAAATTTAAGAATTAGTTTCCTTTTTTTTATCATCTGGGAGCCAAGTCATTATTTACAAAACATTTGCTTCTGTGGATAATAGTGAAATAGTATACATATTACAATGAAATTCCCAATTGCAATTTCATGTTTGTCTTGTGGATAATTGCGACACAGTGTGCAAATTGCTATGGACGCACATAATGAGGTGTGCTAACTATTAAGGACACGAAGTTATGATGTATCAAAGTGGACAAGTAGTATTTACTTTAACGATGAATTTAACAAAAGTGAACATAGAATAGCCTACACAACATCATATACTTTGGGCTATGGAACTATCAATTGTCTGAACTGATGTGACTTGCTTACTCTGTGGATAACTGCAAAAATAATACGGACACACATCATTAGGTGTGTAACTGATATGAAGTTATGATGTATTGAAGAAGACATAGATTTAAAACTGGTTGATATATAAGTTCCACTCTTCACAACATAGATCCTATCCATGACAATGTAATTATTAATTGATCGTATATGTATTTTCATACGGATTATTATGTAACAATTATTGTATAGATGACACTGTCAATTTAGCATTGTAATATTACTATCATTGATTCAGTGAATGCCGCTGGCGGTGGATTGTAGATTCTTTTCCATCGCATGGACATATAACTCTGATTGGTGTAGAACCTTAGGTCGGAGGTCCATGCGACTGCGTATCAGTGTTCTGGGACTGGAAAGGCATCTTACTCATTGATTTCTTACCGCGTGGTCAAACAATCAGAGCAGATGCTTATTGCGAGACACTTCGGAAATTGCGCCGCGCAATACAGAATAAGCGCCGAGGATTGCTGTCAAAAGGTGTTGTTTTTCTTCACGACAACGCACGACCACACACTGCAAATGTGACGAAAAACCTCCTACAGGGATTTGGCTGGGTCGTGTTTGACCATCCTCCGTACAGCCCTGACCTCGCTCCTAGCGACTTTCATCGGTTCTTACATCTTAAGTCTTTCCTTGGCGGTCAACACTTGAACAATGACGACGAGCTGAAAGAAATTGTTTCCAACTGGTTGAAGACACAGGCGGCAAATTTCTATGAAGAAGGTATACAAAAACTTGTTCCACGCTATGACAAATGCCTGCAATATTTCGGCAGTTATGTGGAAAAGTAGTTTAAGAGTTGTTGAATTTTGTGCAATAAATAACTTTTCTGTAGCTGTACACAATTTACTTTTATTACCAAACGGAACTTACTTTCTGGACGTACATTGTAAACCTTCGGTTTTCATGGATCTTGTCATCAATCGCGTGAACCAGTTCTTCTGTAACCAAAGATGGACGCCCACTTCGTTCTTCATCGTGCACATCACTACGTCCGTCATTGAACTTTCGGACCCATCTTCTTACCATTGAATCACTCATCGCTTTTGGTCCGTAAACATCGCAAATTTGCCGATAAATTTCACTAGGTTTCACTTTCCTCGCATTCAGAAAACGAATCACAGATCTGATTTCACAAGCGGCGGGATTTTCAATCAACACCGACATTGTAAACAAGCACAACAAAGCGTACGTGACTGACAGCGATCTCTAAATGGGCCGCGTTTCTTCTCCTTGATACAGAGCGTCTACTGCGCATGTGCGGAACTGCGATCGCGGAGCTGCAGCGGAGATAAATTGAAACGGAACTTACTTTCTGGACGTGCTACTTCTATTTTAATGGTGTTCAACTAACAATATAATTTT